CTACTTTCCCAACTGCTCCAGAACCTGCATCTCTTAGACCACAGCCAAGTTCTGAGCATGGATCTCTAGGGTGTATCTCCAGCACCTTCAGACACCAGACCCCAAGGACCTTGACAACTCATAGTCCCAGTCCAAGCGCTGATGCTGCTTGCCTGTCTCCGTACTCTCACTCCTCAGCTGGAGCCCAGAACTGTGGGTTCTCCGCCTGTCTGGGCCAAGTAATCCCCAGGTGCCGTAAAGTTGATTTTTTAAGCAGCCTACCTCTCACCAGCCAGGTGAGTCAGCCTCGACCATCAGCTGGGCACACACAGACACCTTCACCCACCTCAGCACCTGTGGTGTACCACAGCGTGAGAAACACCGAAAGCCTAAAGATTCTGACGAACAGCCGGGAACACTCTATTGGCCTGTTCCTGTGCTCGATCTACTTTGTCTTCAGTCACAAGAAACCACCTGCACTCCCTAGAACACTCCAAACCTTTCCTGACTCTCGGCTGTCCTGCTGTTCCTTCCACCCCTAACGCCATCCATCCACACCTATGAACAGGTAAGCACCCAGAGTCCCTCTATTGTTTTACTCTCCTTGGTCTCTACCGAGGGGGCTTAACTGAATCCTCTTAAAAGCTCCCACCATTGCCACCACCATCCGAGTGTCGAGAACCTCACCCTTGCGCCTGGAACCCTACACAGCATGTGCCGTGTTCAAGAAAAATTTGAATGCCCAGCAGTTCCACTACGCTGAGAAAAAAAAAATGAAGATGGCATCTTGGCTTTTTGGACCCTCCCTTGTTTTTAAGCTTTTTTAGACTGCTCATAGAACAGGTGACTCTTCTAGCCTGAACTGATAAGAGGGAAGACTTTTAGAAAGGTCAAAGGAGAACGTCGCTAACGTAAACGCTGGCCCTCGGAGAGGCCGGGATCTGGACTGTGAGTCTGCAAGGTACTTCCCCTGATTTTGCTCCCTGGCTTTCAGTCAACCTCTGAGGACGCTAAGGAGTTCCTCATGTGTCTGCAGCCATGCTACCCTGGCGTTCCCAGTCTCGAGTCTCGCCTGTGAGCTTTCATAGGACAACAATGGCTGTTCCAAAACGGCTGTACCTTTCTGGGCAAAGCATATGCCAGCTCTGCTGAACAAAACAAAACCAACCAACCAACCAAATAAAAACAAAGCAAACAACAAACAAAAAGCCAGCCCAGGAGGCTCACAGGCTCCTGCTGAGCAGCTGGTAGAGGGCAACATCACGGTTGAAGACGGACATTGACACAATGAAGTTCACCAGTGGAGGGGCTGACTGGAGAAGGGCCTGGAACAGCTTCTGGTCCCACCGCCTTTCTCAGCAGGGGTCAAGCCTGTGTGACTTTCTCATTTCTCTACAATACCTTCCTGCCCATCAATCCTACACCGCAGCCTCCCCTCCCCACTGTGGAGAGCACACCCCAGCTGCCTTCCTCATGTCTGCACACTGCACCCATCTCATGCCCCTTCCTGTCAGCCGCCTAGGAATTCCTTTCTTCCTACGGGCCCACTGAAAGAGAGGCAACACTCTGGTCCTTTGGGAGTGACATCTCAGGGTCTGCCCCCTTGATGTCTCTGAAGGTAGCAGAACTGACCTCCCCAGGTTTAGTTATTCGCTTGCAAATTATTTGTGTTCTTCACCACAGCATGTACAGGTTTGGGACTCTGATTCTCCATGCCTCTGTGAAGTTTGGAGGCAGCGTTTTCATGGCTCCCTGTCCTTCATCATCTGGGTGGGGCCTCATGACTTGCTTTTTGCTCTCTCTCACTGGACATTGGGGTTGGTTCCATTCTGTTATCATAAAGAGCGATGTGACAGATTAGCAGGTGTGGGCAGGTAGCTAGAAAGCAGATGGACTTCCCATGGGTCCTCTGTGTGGGAAAGCACTTAGATTCCTTGAAGATGATATGAGATGGGTGGGGGTCGGGTCAGGGCTTGGAAAAGTATGAAGGATCTGAGTCTGTCAGGACTATGGACTATGTAACCTTAGGCAACTTCCTTGATCTGAGCGATGTCTAGAATGGAATGTGAAGGCTTAACACATTGATTTTCCCCCCCAGACTATGTCAGATTGAGTGAAGGTTCTGATGATGTCTGGTGCATAGGAACGTTCAACCTTCTCATGCAAGAGAAAAATAAGCATAACGTTCACAGCTGCCACTGTAAACAGAAACGGCATCTCCCGCGTGTGTACACAGAGCTGGCATGTAGAACGTTCTCATCGTGCCCTGGTCTTTACAGGCTAATGGTGGGCTATACTCGGGTCTACTGAGTTGACTGTGTTCACGGTGTGCAGGGCGCTGGATGGAGGGCTGGCCATGGGCCTCTGAGGGTCTGCTCGGATGGAATCTGCACAGTGTGCCAAGCCAGCAGTGACCAAGCAGGCCACGCTGTGAAGAACAGACAAGACGCCTGCCTGGTGGGGCACGAGCCAGCTAAGAGAGAGTAGAGGGGGTGGGGTGGGGTGGGGGCTGGAGAAGGATGCAGAGGCAGGCCCTCGTGGCTGGGTTGGGATTTGAGAGCGACAAGAGCCTCATGAAGGTTTTAAGTGGTCAAACTAGTTTTTTCTCAAAGGGATTTCTGGCAGTTCAGTTTGGAACCTGTCCAAGGCGGTGTGCTGTGGAGAAGGGTGGGTCGTTTTACACTTCCTTCGTCATGGCGTCTCTCAGGAGTCCCCTCTCTCTCTGGGAACCACTCTTCCTGGCTCTGCCCAGGCCTCCTGCCTCCTTCCCTGTGAAGGGCTCTTGGATTGCAGCTGGCTGCTGCTGCTCTTGGAATATAGGCACCTCTGTCCTGACCTTGGCCCTCTTTTCTCTTGCAGTGGGATGCTCCCGCCTTAGTTTCAGCGAGTGACCACACCTGGGTTCAGGGTTCCTCACCCCCTGACTGAGCCCATTCTCTAGAGACACCCAGGGTACGCACTTCTCACTCACTTTCCCTGAAAGTCCCCTCATTACCTCAACACCACGCTGGTTTAAAAAAAAAAAGTAAAAAGCCTCATGACCTCCCTCAGAAACACTTCCTTCTCCTAGTGGCTCTAATGTCGCCCATACACACCCTGTTCTCAATCACACAGACGCCAGTGTCCAAGTCATTCTTGGTGTGTCCCTTGTCCAAACATTCCCAGGCCAGTTTCTTCTTGTCTGTCACCACCCTGCATGCCCAGTACCTACCAGATCCCTGGATGGCCGGGACCCTGAGATGACGACGCTCACTCGCCTCCTAAACTACCACCTGATCCCCTTACTTCTACACGAAACCCCAACCTTTGCTGAATGACCCCTCTGTCTCAGCTCTACCTCCCCCTCTAGGCCTCATCGAACATCTGTTTGACATTCCTCACTTCAGAAAACCCAGAAAATGCCTCGTCAGGAAAAACAACCATTTTGGAATAAAGCAAACCATCTTTCTCTCTGCCCCCCTCAAGCACAGGACTTCTTCCTACAGAAGAATGTGGACCCTACCACCCTCCCATCACCCACCTGACAATGTCCTAACTTCTCCCTAAGGCAAAGACTCGTTATTTAGCCCGAGCTGCCTGGAACTCACCATGTAGCCCAGGCTAGCCGCAAACCCATGCCAGTCATCTTGCCTCAGCCTCCTGAGTGCTGGGGTGACAGGACCTTGGAGATAGGGGTTAAGTACACCTGTGTGTTTTTGCTTCAAGAAAAATTGCTACTCAAGACAGGTCAGAGGTCAGCTGTCTGTCCCCAAAGATACCCCAAAGGGCAGGGTTTGTTCAAGAACTTTCTTCTGCTGATAGTGACATGACGACTTAGAATCACTGCCGGTTACCTGGTGGCTTACACTGTCTCTGGTAAAGTAGTCTAGATGAGGGGTCTAGATGAGGGGTTCAGCTCTATAGTAGAGTGCTTGAGCCAGCCCAAGGCCCTGGGCTCAGTCCCCAGCTTGGGATGGAGGAGGGGAAGAATGGGAGGATGGGGGCAGGAGGGTTGGGGGCTCGGGGAGTTAAGTGAAAGGGGACACTCGGAAAAAAGTGCAAAACTGTTAAGCAACGGTTTAAGTGCATCGGAGGGGTATTCTCTTTGTTCGACGTGCGCTTGTAATTTATTCGTTAAACAAAGTAGAAGATCTTCTTCCTCCCAATGGGAAGATAATCGTGACCAGGATCTTTTACTATACAAGGATAGTGAACGAGCCTTTTAAATTTAAGGTAAAAGATGTGTGTGTGTGTGTGCGTGTGTGTGTGTGTGTGTGTGTCAGGGCCCTTCTGTAATACCAGCGCTCAGGTAGTGAGGCAACATTTCCACAAGTCTGAAGCCAGCTGGAGCTATTTCGGGAGCACCATTCTAGCCAGGGATACAAAGCAAGAGCCTGTCTTAAAAACAGGGTGGAGCTTGGAGGCCACACCTTTAATCTCAGCGCTCTGGAGGCAGAGGCAGGGAGAACTCTGGGTTTGAAGCCAGCCTGATCTACATAGTGATTTCCAGGCTAGCTGGAGTGACACAGTGAGACGCTGTCTCAACAAACAAAACCCCAAACCAAATAATAACGCCTCCTCTCCAATTCAGCTAAGGCATGTATGCGTGTGGGAAAATGTTCTAGCAGCGTCCGTTCTAGTCCCATCTGTCTGAATTCGAAAGGGTCTGAATTTCCCCTACCACAGTGTAGCAGGATCTGTTTCGCGGCTGTTTCGAAACTCAGCGCTGACACATGCGCTCAGACCAGGCAGCTCTGGGTAGATGCCCCGAGAGACCAGCATGCTAGAGAGCACCAATCTTGCCCGAATGCTCCAGACTCCCGAGGCCCCGAAAGGTTACAAAGGTTATCGTGCTGGATGGAAGCCCCTATCCACCGAGGGACACAGATTCCATCAGGAGGAAGGGTCCCAGCGGTCCAATCACCCGGTGTGGGAGCGGCGACCCTCCTTGGGTGTGCTGCGGGCTGAGCTCGCAGCTGCTCACCGGCCTCCGCCGCTCCTCCTGCCCCGACAGGCGCATAGGTGCGTCCCCCAGCCCCTACCTGCGCGTAGAGCTCGGCCACCGCCATGGGCCTCGGCGCTGCTGCTGCTGCTGCTGCTGAGGACCGAGCGCGCCCAGCCAGTCAGCGCCGGGCCATCTTGCCCAGAAGTTTTCCCGAGTGCCACGGCTCCCTTCCCCCCCCCCCCCCCGAGGGCTCGGGCCCCGGGGAGTCGGGGGTGGGGACGGGGTGGGGGTGGCAGCGGGATTGGTGCTCGCGGGCCAGCCTGTGCCGCCATTGGCCCTGCCCAGGTAACAGGTGAAATAAACCGCCAAGGGTCCCGCCCAAGTTCCTGCTCCCTTTCTGCAGCGGGCAGAGCATAGAAATGCGAACACAGGAAAACCAAAGATTCAGTGAGCTAACAGAACTTTTCAATCGAGGAGGGGGTCGGAGTACTAACTAACTAACTAACTAACTAACTAACTAACTAACTAACTAACTACCTAACTAACTAACGTCGTTGTCCTACGAGCGTTTTATATGCAATTGAAAGTAAGAGACAAGATCAAGGAAAATGCACCCAGAGATTACGTCAGTATAAACCTCGTTTGACCTTTATGGCCACAGTGCGTCTATCTCTCTTAAAGGGCACACAAGTGCGGGCCATTTGGAGGGATGGGAATATTTAACATTCAAAAGGTGTTGGTTCCACCCAAATTAATGCACAGGCCCATCACACTGGGTTAAAAAATAATCCTGGCAGCGCTTTCGTATAGTGACTTTATTTTTATATTTTATATGGATTAGAGGTCCATGAACTGTTGAGACTATTTTCATAATGAAGAAAGAAGAGATTAAACTTCTGCCCTTTCTTCGGAGCCGCGCACTTTTTGTTCTTTTTGTATTGAAGCCAGGAACCTGGGGTTCACTGGGTTAGGCCGACCCTGGAGCCCCAGAGCTCCTTACTGTCTCCGCCTCCCCTGGCTTTTTAAATGCGCGCTCTGGGGATTGAACTCAGACCCCCAGGCTTGCAGCACTAGTCCTTTATAGACTAAGCTATTGCCCCAGCCCTGTCCTGCCATATATTCATGGGCAAAGCAGAGCTATCGTCGGTGAGTGACAGAGCCTAAGGTGTGCGGCCATGGCGGCCCACACTGTGAGGCAAACAACCAAAACAGATTTACCACCAATGCGGAATGAAAACGCAGTATCTGGATTCGTGGTTAGAAATCACAGGTAACCAGGTGTGGTGGCAGATGATGGTAATTCTGGCACTGCGGAGACTGAGGCAGGCGGGCGGCCAAGCTTGAGGCCAGGGCCGTAGGGTTTTTTCCTTATTTGATATGGTGTATGATAAAGATTTTTGCATAGGCTATTTTATTGATTTGTGAATGGACATATATTTGAGATTGGGGACTCATTAGGTTGCCCAAAGTCTGTCCTCAAACTTGAAATTCTCCTGCCTCAGCCTTCCAAGCATCTGAGATTACAGGTGCATACCACGGAGCTTGATGGTTGATTTTTTTTTTTTAAGCTATTTTTTTTCCCCTTCTGAGATAAGCCCTTCTTGGCTGGGGTGTAATGGTCCTCATTGTATGTTTCTGGGTTTGGTGTGTGATGTTCTGTTAGGGGTCCTGTGACTCCTTGTAATGGGTGCGATAGCTTTCTCTGTTTGACCTTTAAGAGTTAGGAAGTGTGAGCATCTCTATTTTATTAGAGACTGTGAGAGACTTGTACTATTTCTTCTGCATTTGCTGAAACTTGAAGTGATGCCCCAAGGACTGTTTGTGTGTGTGTGTGTGTGTGTGTGTGTGTGTGTGTGTGTTAAGATTCTTGCTTACCCCTTCACTTGGAAATCCACTCAGATTCCCCAGGACTTGTGGGAATTTGTCCATCTTGTCCACTTTTCTGGGATACAGCTGTGGCTGGTGCTCCCCTATACTCCTGGCTCCGGATGAGGTCTTGAGAGGACAAAGTCTAAAGCTCTGCTCGCCCTCGGGTACTGCCCAGCTGTGTGGCCAGAGAACTTCACCCCTTGAGTCCCTGCACCCCAGCTCCTCATTTGCCTCCTCCTTCTCGTCTTGGCTCTGCTGAAGAAGACACACCCTCTTTTCTTCTTTCAGTCCTGATTTTGGTAATTTACAACTTTTCTCATATTGTTTAGTTGACTTGATTAAAAATTGTCGGTTGTGTTTATGTTCTCATTTATTTTCTCTATAAAATTCTGTGTCATCCTTACTGTTTTCCTTTATGGTGTTTATTTTGGGTTTGGTTTGTTTGCTCTCCATCAGGCAGGTTCTTAAGGTAAACATGTTAAGTTATTGGTTTGAGGCAAGCTTCTTTTCTTTCTTTCCTCCTTGTATTTATTTTTTTTTTTAAACAGGGTTTCTCTGTGTAGCCCTGGCTGTCCTGGAACTCACTCACTATGTTGACCGGAGGCTGGCCTTGAACTCACAGAGACCCACCAGCCTCTGCCTGCATGGGGCATTTTAATGTGCATGTTAGTTTTATACTATATAACAAATATCTGAGAGAGACAATTTGAAAGGAAGAAAGAATTACGTTGGCTCACAGGTTCAGTGGTTTGACCCACAGCTGACTGGCTCTGTAGCCCGAGAGGAGGCTGGGCATCTCAGAGAAGCTGGTGCGCAGGGTGGGAGGGGCAGGCAGCTTGCCTTAGCGTGGACGGAAGCAGACAGCAAGGGTGCAGTTACAGTCTTTCAGAAGCAGCCATCACACCCGAGTTGCTCTTATTTCTTCAGCTAGGCCCCATCTCCTACGATTTCCACCACTGCTCAGAAGAGCTACGTCAGCGGAGGAACCGAGGCTGTAACAGATGAGAGGCTGCTGAGGCAGGCACCTTCAGGGGCAGATCCCTGTTACAACACACCTGTGAAATGAATGTCCTTTATTTTTCAGATAAAACTCTATGTTACAAGCTGGCCGTGCTCAGGGCCATTCTCCCAGGCACGCCCAACCTTCGGACATGGCAGGCGTTGCCATTTCTCTTTCTAGAGAGTTCGTGCCAGAGAACTGCAGTCGAGTTAGTTACAAAAATAGAATGTTTTGGGGATCTTACGATTTTGTGTCGGGGTGCACTTACAGCTATTCTGGCAGGTTGCAGGTTGGACATGCCTGCTCCATGATCTTAAACTGAGCATGCTCAGGAGCGTAACTGAGTGTGCTTAAGGATGGGTGGGTCCCCTTATGAGATTCAGGGGTGGGTGGGTCCCCACATGAGATACAGGCTCTGCAATAAAGCCCTTCCATTGTTGGAGTGGGTCTTGCTTTGGAAGTGTGTTCGTTCCTCTTACCTGGGTCAGGTAGCAAAGCTGTGTCTGTTTTTTTTTTTTTTCCCCCAGTGCCGACCACTGTGCAGAACCGGGGGACACGTCACACTCAAAGCCTGGCATAAGCCACTCATTCATGTTTCTTAACAAATCTTGCAAAAATGTTTCTCGCCGGGTCTGACTATTTTTAAGGATGTATTGCAGCAGTTCTGGTGCCGTTCCTTCTTATGGTTAATCAGCTGGCCTTGGACTGTTCACTGCCCAGACTGGTTGTTTCAGCGACGTTATTTAGTCTGTTTCTGCCTTCCCCACAGTGGTGTTGGTACGTTGCCTGCTTTTCCCGAACACATCCAGCTGTTGAGCTCTTCCAGTGGGCCCAGTTGCCCTGCTGTTTTCAGGGTTGCCGTAAACATAAATAGCTTTCCACACTGGGGTAATGTCCGTTCAGCTTTGGGCTCCTTTGAAAGGATAATGCTTCAGGTCAATGTGTGACATTTATCTCATCACAGACTCCTCTCAGATGGCTCTTCTCCAATTTGTTCAGAGAAACCCAGGGCCTACACTTCAGTCTGTCTCCAGACAAACTGCCAGACAAACTTCCCCTAATTTCCATTTGCTTTAAACCTCCATCATACTTTGGCTCAAATTTCTCTTAAACATCCGCAAAGGAAGTCAGTTCCTTTAGGAAGAAACTTTTCATGATCTGCTTTGTTCCCAGAAAAACCTCTAAGCCAAGGCTCTGGTGGGGGTGATGAGGAGGTGGGGTGGGGGGTGATGGGGAGGTGGGTGGAGGATGATGAGGAGGTGGGGTGGGGGGTGATGGGGAGGTGGGGTGGGGGTGATGGTCCACTTGTCCCCGAGAGATGTCCCCCTCCGTGTTGGGTACACAGGGGTCAGCAAAAGATGAGTCTCATAGGTTGGCTTTTCTCCACATGAAACCACTGTCTTGTTAGCCTAGCTCAGGGCAATTGAGGACCTACCGTTCTCAGCAGCAGAGTACTCACAGAGGAACCATGAACTGGGGCAGGTTAGGAAGGAAGTCCTTCCTCTCAGCTATGTTCATTTGGAGCTTAGCCTCAGTGACCCGTAGCCAAAAGCCAAATGAGAAACGCCAACTCTGTTGCTCCGTAGGGTTGCTGGGGCAGATGGAACCCTGTGTTCTTGGCCATAAAAGGGTAGCGTCAACTTCTGACATGTGAATTGGGAAGCCCTCTCTGTCTCTATCCATCCCTCTCCCTCCCTTCCTCCCTTCTCTGTGTGTGTATGCATGTATGTACACATTGTTTTAGATAACTGTGGTGCTTTAAATGAGATGTTCCCCATAGTCTCAGGAACTTGAGTACCTAGTCCCCATTTCATGGTGCTGTTTGGGTAGGGTTAGGAGGTGTGGCCTTTTTAGAAGGAGCATGTCACAGGAGGCAGGCTTTGAGAGTTTAAAGATTTACATGATTTCAAATTTGTTCTTTCTGTTGCCTGCTCGCTGTTCAAGATGCCAGCTCTACTGCTGCTCTAGCTGCCATGCCTCCAGCCTACTGAGCTCTGCCTAGGGGGTTCCTTCTGGAAACCCAAAGCTCAAACAAATCCTTTCTTTTATAAGTTGCCTTGATGATGGTGTTTTATCATGTCTTAGGGTCTCTAGTGATGTGATAAAACACCATGACCAAAAGCAACTTGGGAAGTTTATTTCACCTCTAAGATTAGACGCTTACAGTCCATCACCCGGAGAAGTCAGAGAAGGAACAAGGGGCCCAAGGTGGGAGGGAAGCTGGAGGAGGAACTGAAGCAGAGGCCATGCAGGAATGCTGCTCACTGGCTTGCTCAGCCTTCTCTCTTCTAGAATCTAGGACCATCAGCTCAGGGGTGGCATAGAACACACTGAGCTGCCCCCCC